AGTGTAAAGCAGTAATTTCCTACCGAGGCCAGCAGCCCTTGAGTTAGACCGTAGACTCAGAAAGACAATTCTTCCATGTAGTTCGGAGCTCCCTGTGGCCTCGAGCAACACAGCCTCTTCTGCCTGGATCTCTCCACCTGTGCCATGGGTACCCTAGTGTCCACCTAGCGTGATGATGGTAGCAGTTGCCGGTAATTAGGCTTCTAGCCCAGTGTCTAACTCAGTGCTCGACAGAATCGTCATTTCCGTTCCTTCTCTTGCTAGTGATGGAAAAATGAGGTTTGATTTTTCTGGAAAGAAAGAGAGTGTCAGGTTAAAAAAAAAATCTTTTGTCTCCAAAGCAGTTTAATAACTCTACAAAGGGAAACTGGTTTACATCATGTGGCCTTCTGCCAAGCACATGAACCTCGGGTCAGGTAGGGAGCCAAGGAGGAGACTGGGGAGTGAGAAAGTGTCTCACTCTGGGTGTGGATGACCTATGATTCCTCTCAGAAAGCTTCCTTTCCATTCTTAACCCACCTGTCCCAAGAGCAGTGGCAGTGGACCTGTTTCTCCAGTATGCAAATCACAGCGTGAAACACAAATGACTTAGCAAGAATTAGGGAGCCTTGGAGCATGGCTCACACACCAGGCTCAGGTAGACAGCACCAGGCTGGAACTCAGTATAAGGAGAGCTAATTGAATGTCCCATTTTGTAGAAGCCCAGATTTGAAGCTAGGGCCAGGGAGGAAGTTCCATTTATGGATGCTGCATGAATGCCAAGGTCCCATGTGCATTCCTCTGGGGAGGGGAGGCAGATGTGCACCTTTGAGTGTAATCCTCCTCACACCCCAACCAGCAGGTCTGTGTAGCAGCTGGGAGCACAGCCTCAGCACCAGCAAGGCAAACTGTCGGGACACAGGAGCATTATTACCATACTTTTTAGCAGCAGAACACATTTCTACTGCTAGAAATGTGTGTGTCCTTCCAGGTTTTGAACACAGTACACGCTTAAAACATTTTTAAAAAATGAGCACATCTTGGGGGCAGGAGAGATGGCTCAGTGGTTAAAAGCACTGCCTGCTCTTCCAGAGGACCCGGGTTCAATTCCCAGCACCCACAATGGCAGTTCACTAGTGTCTGTAATGCCAGCTCCAGGAATTCTGACAACTTCACTTAGATAACACATGCGAGCAAAAACACTTCTGCACATAAAATAAAAATAAATACATTTTTGAGAGTGAGCACATCTAGGGCTATCTACGAGAACAGAGAACTTCAGTAAAGTAGACGGCTTAGCTGGGGCCCTCATGTGCAATCAAGTAGTGAGTGAGTTCCTCAGCCCAGCGAGAAACAAACACAGACAGGACAGGATTTGGGGAGCAGCCCAAATGTGGACAGGGTAACTCACTCTGAGGACCTTGCTGAAGCTCCTGCAGGCCCTCTCTGATACAGGGAAAGTCTGTTTTGGTTTTAATGTCCTCTTCTTAAGTGACCTGAACCAGTACCATGAACTGGGAATGAGTGGAGCCTCCAGAGTTGCTGCCCGGAGCTCCAGAATATATGTAGAGAACCTGTTGAGGCCCAAACCACAGTCTTGAGTTGGTTCTTGTGAACTGGGCTGGGCACCAGATGATCCCACCCATTTGGTGGTGGCATTGGTAAGGTGGTGGGGTCCTACTATCAGCCACAAAACCTATTGTCATTGCCTAACTAACTTCGAATCAAACGCATCCATTAAGTGGAAGATCATTGCACAAGGTCTTTCTTTAGTAATTTATTTGTTTTGGAAAGACCGTCACAGTCACTGAATAACTCTTCTGTCAAGGCAAAGGGGTGTCTCCACTGTGAACATCAGGGTCATTCCTGACCATGAGGCCGATGCTCCACGGTGTTCTAATTCCTGATGGATACGGAGGCACAAGTCACATCTGCTGGCTGTCACTCCCAGCCTGCGTGAGGAATTCTTTTCCCATGGCCCGTGCTCTATTCTCATTCACGAGCACTCCCTTCCTCTCTTCCTGGAGCTATTCTGATGCCTGTCTCCTCCCCAGTTCCGCTCCTGTAGATTTTTCTTTTCTGGAGTCCCAGCCTGAAGCCTTTGAGTCAGTGGCAGGGGAGATGTAGCCTTGTCCGGTGGAGAGTCCACCCTTCCTCTACCCCGCCCTGGCTTCCAAGACCTGTGACCTAAGTCTGCAGGCAGCGAGCAAGGGAAGGGTGGGATTCTGCGTGAGTGCTCTCTGAGACCTATGGCTTTTCAGTGAAGGAAACAGAAAACCCTTAGAGGTGCTTAAAGAAAAGCGATTAAAGATCGTCTGGCACTAATTGGGTTGTGTGTGCTGTGCTATGTCCTCTATCTCTGTGACCCACCAATGCATACCACAGCCTCTGAGATACCGGTTATTACTCTCCTTCACCTGTAAGGAAGTTGAGGCACGAGGGTGTTCTGATTAAAACCTGTGTTCTTTCTGTTGTCCACCCGTCTGTCTGTCTGTCCATTGCCAAGAGTCTCTGGAGGAAGGCAAGCCTGAGTGGGCACATAGAATGTGAACTTGTTTTGGGTCATAGTGAGGCCAACATAATTCCCATCCCTGCCCCCGAAGTGAGACACTATGCAATCCAAGCAGGTCTCAAACTCACTACCTGCTCGCCTGTGCTTCCTGCTTGGAGTATAGGCACCATGCAAGGCTAAAGGCAAGATCTTTTGGTTCATGATTCATCAGAGTATTACACAATGAAGGAGGGAGAGGTCAATGACCTGATGCCTTAGAATTACCATGATTATTTACCCGGCCTATGGTAACCCATTGTTGCCTATACTCCTTCCAAAGCATCTAGATTGTCACCCTTGGTACCTTGCTTAAAGCCAATTTTCAAATTTCCAATGCCTCCCCCCCACCCCAGTAGGTAGATAATCTCTAAAATAAGTAATTTCCAACTAATGGGTCTTTTCTCCTGAAGGATTCAAAACCTTTAATAATGTTATAAGCATTGTGATAGAATTAAGGACTTAGTATAGAGCATTCACCAGTCTCTGTTGTCAGACCCTTAGTATTTCGTGGAATATAGTTTGAGAGAAATTGGTCTGCCCAACAAAGGGCAGACTTCCTGGCTTGGTGCCCAAGGCCCTCTGCAACCTTATCTCTCTATATACCTCATCTACTCTCCTCTCCAGCTAGGCTGGACTATTGGAAGTACCGCACTCAACAGCCTCCCAATTCTCCCTTACCTTCCATCAAAATAGTCCTCCATCTCGATGGTTCAAGTCCATCATCCTTTGCACTTGGCAATGACACTAGCTGCCTTCCACCTTCTTTCATGGTGTCTCTAAGACACATTAGTACACTTACAGAACCCACTACGGAGTGGAGTGAACGTCTCAGCTCTTTGTCCTTAGCATCTACCAAAGCATCTACCAGTGTCTGGTTCTGTCGTGCGGGGTTTTTTCCTGGAGAATGAACTTTCCAGCTTTATTCTCCAGGTGTTCTAGAATGTGCATCATGTTCTAATTAAATGTATACATTCACTGTTCTTATGAATAAAGATTCTAGATCTCTATTGAAAGTGGCCTTATGTCCCTTACTTCACAAAAGAAGTTTTGGATACATCAATTTGTATTCATTGTCTTCGCCTTTGGGATGATGATTTTGCCGTGCTTCTGGGTTTTAACGGATTATTGCTGATGTATGAGAAACCCATTGATTTTCCTTAAATTTGCTTAGCAGCCACCCTCTTATTAGTATACCCTCTTATTAGTTTTCCACTCAGTGCTTTTAGGTTTTCTAACATTAGAGTCACTGTGTCTCGGTGATGGTGGGGCCACCTGTTTTCTACGGGTGGCTTTGTATTTTCCGCGTAGGTGAGAATTCCGTCCTAGACAGGGCTCCTGCACAGCCCAAGTGCCTCTGGGATCTTCCATTCTCTCTCTGTCCCCTAGGCCTGGCCTCCTGGCCCTTGGCATGCTCCTTCCTGGCCACCAAAAGGAAAGTGCCCCATTGTCTCTGGAAGGGAGGTCTGGCCTTTGCCCCTGCCTCAGGTCTGTCATGTGGCTAGCTGCCCCTCCCTCTGCTCTTCCCTTCTCTTGGCCTCTCCCCTGCTTTGATTTGTAGTCGGAAGTTCCCCCTTGTTCCTCTTGCTTCTTCCCCCTCATTTCCCAAGTTCCCACAGGAACCTGGGAAGTAGGTTGTGCCCAGAGGTTAAAGCGGAAACTCTAGCAAGATAACTCCAGAGGGGACAATACCCAGTTGACGTCATTTCAGCTTTCCTTGGGCCAGAAGTAGTGTTTGGGGTGGGTTTTTTTTTTCCTCTTTTCTTGTCTTTTTCTTACATTTTTCTTCAGGTTGCTCTTCCACCCCACCCAGCACAGTATCTGTCAATGTCCCCTTGAAAGTTCTCTGGCATTGTCTGGCTGGTTTATGTTTCCTTCTTTGCTGATTCAGAATCCAGGTTCCTACTGGTGACTTGGAAACTTCTCGTGAATGGAGCTGCTTTCTTTCAAAGCAGAAACATCCCCTTGCTGGGCCTGTCAAAGCAACTCACTCAAAGCTTCATAGGTGTTCCTTTGCTGTGGCAGGGGATTGCTGGTCTCCCTAGGGACCCTGCAGCTATAATCCCAGAGAAAACTCCCAGATGTGTTGTTAGTAAATCGTTATCAGTCCTGCAACAAAGCCTTTGCAGGCCTTGGTTACTGTTCTCCGTGTAGTGTAGATCCAGAGGAAAGGAGGAAAGTCACGTTTATTAAATGTTTGCTGTGTGCGTAGCAGTACGTAAAAACCATTCATATGTACATATGTACTATCTTATTCAGGTCTCTTTAGCTGATCCCTCTAAATAAACTCAGCATTTTTTATGCTATAAAAAATAAAGATCAGTGACTGGAATCATGTCAAAATTAAATACTCTATCCGCAGTATATCACACCAAATCTAGATGACTCCATTTAGCAAAAATGTAAAGCATGCTGTGTTCTAGTGTCTGTGAATGGGAAATCCTTTAGCATCTCTTTTATCTCTTTCCTTCAGCTATACCTTCAGGCCCGCTTCACCTGGCGAGGGGCCCGCCTGCTGCGGCCCCTCCTGCAGTTCACTCTGCTCATGATGGCCTTCTACACGGGATTGTCACGTGTATCTGACCACAAACACCATCCCAGCGACGTCCTGGCAGGATTTGCCCAAGGAGCTCTGGTGGCCTGCTGCATAGTAAGTAGCCCTTTGTCCTTAGCGTGCAAACAGAAGCCCCAAACGGGTGCTTGTTAAATGTTTCCAGCTCAGTGATTAAAACTGTGGTGGAGACTTCATTCCTGTTCCCTTCTTAGTGTCCCAAGAGCAGCTGGCTTCAGCACCCCATCAGTAGGAGAGACTCGATTGATAGGGTCTGTGAATCTTCTTCTCTGTGAGCACCAATATGGACTTGGAGAATGCTGTGATTAGAAGACAGCTTAGGTATTGTCCAGCTGACCCAGTATCCAACCACAGTAAGCTGACGTTGCCCAAGCACACACGTGAGGAACGGACAGAACGGCAGTCTCCTGACACAGCCTATTCATACACAGCTTTGCTGGACGCTAGTTAGTCAGTGGCTCTTCTCGGCTTCTTGGGAAATCCCTACACCCTACTGTGAATGATCTCCCGGGACCTTGGTCTGTGTTGGCTAGAGATCCAGAGGTTTGCTGAAGGAGAAACCCCTCCCTTGGCCAAGGGACCTTGCATATCATCAGAACGCCATCCAGACTGAACTTGGGGTGGGCCACATGGTGGTTCCCCTAATACAAATGGATTGCTTTTTTTCCGTGTTTCATCCTGATTCTCAGTGAAGGTGGAAATTGGTTTTCCGCCTCCCCGCCCCCCCCCCCCCCCCGCCTCTTTCCTGCATCCCAGATGCTGAGTGTGCACAAACTTTGGTATTAAGGTTTCTGGGGCCCTTCTTAGAGGTGCTCACCCCAGTCCCATAGGAAGCCCTGAGTTCTTCAGTAGGACTGCAATAGGAACGTGAATGGGGCCTCAGCAGGTCGGCAAAGGCCCTGCATAGTGTGGTCAGCTCACAGTGTCAGTGTTAGGGTGCTCAAAGTAGACACAATAGACATGATTAGACAGACCCACCTGCCAGCTTAGATGTTGGAGGCCCGACTAGGAGTCTAGTGTCTTGATGGCTGTCTTTAGGGTGCGTGCTCTCTCTGTCTCTCTGCATGACTGTGTGTGCATCTCTCTCTCTCTCTCTCTCTCTCTCTCTCTCTCTCTCTGTGTGAGTGTGTGTGTGTGTGTGTGTGTGTGTGTGTGTGTTTCTCTCCAGAAGAGAAAGCAAATTAGGGGAGCCAATTGTTACCTGGAGCAGCTGTCACCCTCTAGCTTGTCCCCTGGTGCCTGGCCCTTTAATATGTGATGACAGTGGGGGATGGGTAACTCTTTGCTGCCTGCACCCTTCTGAGCTTTGCTCTCAGCGGGAGGGCAGACCATGGAGCCTGCTGAGCTGCTTCTTTCTGCCTGGGCCTGCTGCCCTAATTGGAGTCTCCTTTACCCCCAATTAAAAAAAAAATTAAAAGGTGTGGGGATCATTCCTAACCTTCCTCTCTTCTATACTGCAGCTCCAGAGTGCAGGCCATGAACAATTAGACAAAACTCGGGAGAAGGAGGGCTTATTTTCCAGAAGGAAACCTGGGAGTGTGACTTTTATCCTGTTTGGCTCTGAGTGACTGTAACGTGGGTTGAGAGTTTGAACTCAGGGTTTGTAAAACCACCTACTGTTGGTTGACACCTCTCTGGATACTTTGCCCTGTGACTTCCTTGAGGGCCATGTGGCCACTGCACTGATGTGGCAACTCAGACTTGGCGAAGTGACTTAGGTCACCCAAGGCCAAAGAGCTTCTCCTAGAATGACTCAAAGCAATGCCCTCTGTGCTCAGCAGTGGGGGAGGGGAGCCATACACCGGGCCAGCCAGAGCTACCTCGGGCAGAAATCGTGGAGACAGCTGTCTAAAGATGGTCCTTTAAGTGTGTTGCAGGGGCCTTCCCAAGTCTTGGGCTGATCCTGTTAGCCTTTTGAGTCTGGAAGTTCTTTTTACCTAGATAGATTGAGAAGAGGTGACACATCTTCTCTGCCTTTTGCCCTTTTACCTGTCTGCCTGGTGTGGCAGGAACTAGGCCTTGTTGATGATTTTTCTTTCGATTCCTAACTCCACCTGGCACATAGCCAGGACCTCCTGGTCCCACTAGCTTGGAAGCGCAGCACCGAGAGATTTGATTTGCTTAAATCATCTGACAGGCCAGGGCAGAGAAGTCTCTGGAAGATGTGGCTGGTTGCTCAGTGGAAGAGTTTGGGAAAACTCAGCAGGGGAAAAAGAAGGCTCTCTGTCCTTTCCCACAGAGAGCCATGGGATAGTGTGGCCCTGGTTTTGATTACAAGGAAAGACAGACACAAAACTCCCCAGCTGCTGCACTGAGTCAGAGATGCTGGCCCTCAAGGGGCTGTCTGATGAGGACACTGGGTATCTATCTAGCCTGAGGCCCACCAAGAGTATGGAGGACATTTATTTGCCTTTGTAGGGTCTCAGCTCCATCAGCTCCCATGTGCAAGGGAGCCCTAGTGTTGTAGGCCGTAGTCTCGGACCTCTACTCTGCTTACACCATGTGACAGAAGTGTCCCTTAAGATCAGTGAATCCTGGGGAAAACAAGTGCTCTTCTCACTTATAGGCAGTATAGACCGTAGCAGGCTTTCTTCTCGGACTATTTTTGGATCACTAGACCCCAAAAAATGACACGACGATTTATTAATTGTGGAAGCTTGGCCTTTAGTTTAGGCTTGTTTCCAACCAGTTCTTATAACTTAATTAACCCATATTTTTTTAATCTGCATCCTGGCACATGGCTCTTTGCCCTTCCTTAGTATGTATGCCCAACTTGCTCTGAGTCTGCTAGTGTCTCTCCAACTCTCTTTTTTCCAGTGTTCTCTCTCCCCCAACCCAAAAGTCCTGCCTAACGATTGGCCATTCAACTCTATATTAAACCAATCAGAAGGGGCCTTGGCAAAGACACATCTTCACAGTGTTACAAATATTCCACAGCAGTGTATCTGTGATATTTGTCGTTGTTGTTAAGGCAGAATCCCACTATGTAATCCTGGTTGGCCTGGAACTCATTATATAGACCAGGCTGGCCTCAAACTCATGGAGATCTGCCTGCCCCTGTCTCCTTAGCGCTGAGCATAAAGGTGTGTCCCACCATGGATTCAAGTTTCTTGACCTACAGAGACATCTCCCAGAGTCGGAAGGTTCCAGCACTGCACAAACCACAAGGTGCCGTGATGCTCAGCATCTATTTCCTCCTCTGCCGGAAAACCTCTACTGCCCAACCTCTGAGGCCCCTTGGTGCCTGGGCAAAGGTGTGGGTTTGCTAATGCTTGTGGCGAGCTCACTGTTTGTGGCAACTGTTTTCATTTAAAATGAGAACTCAGGAGTCTGGAAGGATTAAGGCCCACAGAAAATGTAGAGAAAGCAAAGCTGACACACTCCCGCAGTACTCCCGCAGTCTGACACAAAGCCAGCTCTCTTAAGACCTCCCTCACCCCCCACACTCCCTCACCTGCTGGCAAGCCACACTTCTTGAGCTCTTACCCTTGATAGCTGCCCACTCCTTTCGATGGAGCACAGTCCACTTCCACTTCATTTCTGGTAGAACCTCTTGTATGAGCCCTCCACAGCTGCTGTTACAAGTAAACCCAATCTCAATCCAGCTGTGACAACAGCACAGATGTTTTCTTAAGCCCCCGAGAACCACAGGAACCAAAAATGAGTCTCGCTGAGCTATAATCAAGGTGTGGAAAGGCTGTGTTTCATGGGAAGGCCGAAGGGAGAGTCAGTTTTCCTTGCCTTTTATAGCTACCTGTGTTCCTTGATGTATGGCCACTTCCCCTGCCTGCCCGTCCTCAGGGATGCTGGTACATCGATAGCCCAGGGTCAGGTGTCCATTTCTACGGCCTTACCTTAATCTCATCTACTCAGTCTTCTTAGTCAGATGTGAGGTAGTATCATTACAGGTCTGCAGAGTGGGCTCTGGATATCTCTGAGGAACCAGCGTTCAGCTCTGCACACCTTCCCCAATCCCTGAAGCTAGAATTTCCCAACTTTCTTTTCGAGTTCTCCCAGACCCCAGTGCTTTGCTCTGCCATGACTTTGGCCTCTTCTGTCAATTACCTGCTCTTCTGTCCATCTCCTCAAGTAGATTATGCTTTAATAACAGAATCCATGGCTTAATCATACAGCTATTCTGGGTGCCTGTTGTGGTAGCTGACAGATATCAGTTGTTTGATCAGCATTGGGGAAATCATGATTGAATGAGCTGTAGCCTCAGGTGGGATATCCCCTATGATACTAGTTTCTTTATCTGTGAATTAAACTTTGAGGTCTTAGCCAGACGACGGTGGAGCACGCCTTTAATTCCAGCACTTGAGAAACAGAGGCAGGCGGATCTCTGTGAGTTCGAGGTCAGCCTGGTCTACAATGTGAGTTCCAGGACAGCCAGAACTGTGACACAGAGAAACCCTGTCTTTAAAAACCAAACAAACTAACTAAAACTTGGAGGCCTGTAGCTCTCCATCTTCTATTCAGCTAGACAGTGTCTATATAACTAAGCTGGGCCTGCTTTTTCAGGTGGAGAAATCTCCTCCATGACCATGCCCTAAATTCGATGATTACCCTTAAGCCTCCCAATGGTGTAGCATGTTGGCCTAGTCATGGTTCAGTCCCTACAGAGCCTTGGGCAGCAGTCTGGCAGTTCAAGTCTTTAAAGGCCGGTTTTGTCACAGCAAGCAGACTTATTTAGACAAAAACGATGTGCCCACAGAGAGTAGGTTTAGTTTGCTTGCCAACTGAATGCTTTGCAGAAAGAGAAGGGCATGAAACCTGATGAAACAGAGCCTTCACAATGCCTGGGACTCAGTGCAGATGCTGGAACTCAGTCAGAAAGGACAGCACACCAAGGCACACCTTTGCCAGATGGGCCAGAGGAACAAGGCAGAAGTCCACAGAAGAGAAGACATTCCCTGACAAACAGACATGCATTATCTTTCATTCCACTTGGCTAGCCCTACAGGTGCACAGAACAGATGGACAAACAGAGCCAAAGGCTGCTGCACTGATCCCCCCTGCTCTTCCTACCTGCACCTCTGCAGCTCCCCCTACCAAAGATTCAAATACCTGGATTCAAC